ACTTTTATTATAATTTTAATTTGGGGGGTCAGAATGAACCAAACAGATTAAACAATGCCTTTTTGAGGGCAAAGGTTTAAAAAAATTGAGTCCTTAGTTTGATATGTGAATAGATAAGATCAATTAGAGTATTAAAGAACAACTCCTTATGTACCAACTGAAAGGAAGCTATTAAGTTTGAAATAAACTAATTTACTTCCTTTACTCTTATTTACAGGAGACAGAAATTCAACTTCAAATGCATTTAAGAAATCACTACCCAGTGGTGGGGGCACCGCATATGTGATACAAATACTTTACTGAATTTACTTTTACATGTATTCTTTATTCTTTTCTAAAATATGTCCCATATCGAGGGATCATTTGTTTTACATGAAGATATAAATCACATAACAAAATTCATCATTTTATAGTGTATACTTCACTGGCTTTTAGTATACAAATTTGGGCAACCATCAACATTACATAATTGCAGAACATTTTCATCACCCCAAAAGAAATTCTGTATCCCATTGGCAACCTCTGGCAACCACTTATCTGCTGTCTGTCCTGATAGATTTGCCTATTCCTGACATCTCATTTGAATAGAGTCATACTATATAGCGTTTGCGACCAGCTTCCTTCACTTAACATGAGATGTATCACGTTCCTCCATGTTGTGGCATGTGCCAGTGCTTCATTTCATCTTGTGGCTCAGTAAAGTTCCATCGTAAGAATGTGCCACAGTTTGTTTATCCATCCATCAGTTGGTAGGCCTGATTGAATAGCAATTAAATTTCAAGTCCCTTCCACTTCTGAGCTCTTGTGAATAATGCTGCTATGCATACATTAAGGTACAAGTTTTTATATAGAAATGCGTTTTCATTTCTCTCGGGCATGTACCTAGGAGCAGAGTTGCTATATCCTATAGCAGCTCTGTCTTTAACTTTTTGAGGAACTGCCATGCTATTTTCCACAGGGCAGGACCATTTTACATTCCTACCAGCAATGTGCTCGAGTGTTCCATCTTCTCCAGATCCTTACCAATACTTATTACCTTTCTTTATTCTTGTCATCCTAGTGGGTGTAAAGGAATATCTCATTTTTGTTTTTGATTTGTATTTCCCTAATGGGTAGTAATGTTGAACATCTTTTCATGTGCTTACTGGCTACTCGTATAGCTTCTTGGAGAAATGTCTGCTCAAATCTTTTGCCCATTTTAAACTTGGCATTTGTCTTTTTTGTTGTTGAACTGTAAGAGCATGAAATTTCACTGAAGAGAGCCAGACAGAAACCAGACAGAGAGTCAGACAGAAAACTGGGTTGAAATAATAAAAAATTGTGAATCTTTCAATATTAACAAATTATATTTATTGTTAGCCTGCTAAATGTTCTATGGCTTCAATTGCTATCAACATCTCTTGCTTCACCTCTTTTGTTCCCTAAAACTCTTAAAGGTATTCGTATCTTTCTTATCATGTTGAGTATTAAACTCTCCCATCTTTGGTTTCTACTTTCATATCCCTTCTCTTCATCTAATCTTACTACTGCTATCTGCTCACTCACTATAGCACGAATCACATCTATCTCCAACCTTTCTACTTCTATGGCCATGGCACAGTCAGACCTTTATTGCCCCACACCTAGACTACCTGCTTGTTCCCCATCTCGTGTATTTTTTAAAGCACAGTTCTGCTTGTGTCCCTCCTAGTCAAAAGCTTGTATAATTTGGTCCCAGCCCACTTTTCCTATCTGTTTTTTCTACCATTTCCTAAACTACAGAAAAAGTAAATTTGGTGGTTTCTCCATCCTACTACAATAATTAATTTGTTTGTGTCTCTACCATAAACTGTATGTTTAAGAAATGTACTAATGTGAAAGAGAGATTAATGGAAGTAAACATGTCCAGAGAAATTAAAGGCAGCCATGTCACAGAAAATAAAAGTAGATCCCAGAAAGATTTTAACATAATCCTTATTTCTAGAAATGTGTGGAAACAAATATGAGGTGGAGATGTCAAATATCTAAAATTACCAATTACATTAAGACTACTTGAAATAAATACATATAAAAACATATATTTGCTCCATGCATCAAATATAGATAAATTAAAATGTTAGACCTTTTAGTTCTTATGCACTTTTGGCTAACAGCAGCAGTGGGTATTAGATTATTGTTTGCCACATGGCAGAATACCTTTTAATTTTGTGATAAATACTTTATTGATATAAAATTTTATCAAATGAATGCAGAAAAAATGTTTTAACAGAAAACAATTCTGTAACAAACAAATTAAACCAAAAACAAAATCACAGGGTCAGATCCACCCCTATAATCTCAGAATTCTATCATACACAGCACCCAATACAGAGAGAAGACATAAAAGGGATGTTTTCCTATGATTTTATCTTCAAAATATTTTAATAATCAAACATCAATATTTAACCACTTAGTATTTTTTTGAAAATATGCTTAATTATTCCAAAGCTTGAAGATCACAAAAGCTTATATACAATGAGCTGTAAGTCATAAACAAAACAAAATGCATGAATGAACATATTACACTTTTGCCCACACAATCCTACGAGCATAACTCAGACTGTAAAAAAACTGATGGGCAAAGAAAACCTTTTCTAAAATTCAGGACAAATATAATTGCTCCGATTGAGAGAGAAGAAAAGTAGGCTAAAAAAAGATGTTTTCTATTTTATAGATTTTTCTCTCGGGTGTGATTATAAAGCGACATTCAAGTGCAACCAACAAAGTCCCTATTTTTTCTTGCACAAAATTCAAAGACATCAGCAGAACCACCCATGTCAGTAATAAAAATAAAAAGTCTTTGACTTTTTAAATGTTATCATACTGTCACAGTGGAATAAAATTAGCTTGAAAAATGATCGAGAGGCACATGATGCAGTTCATTATGTATAATAGCAACAGCAGCGGTTTCCCAGTGTTCGTAAAGGCTACGCCATTAAATTTACCTCCAGTCAATAATTAGGAGTCCACAAATAAACCTGGGCAATTAAATCAATACTGCCTGGCAATTATATTCCAGAGTCCAGGCTCAGTGGCACAAAAAGGCACTATATCAAGCTGCAGTAGTAAGCAATCTGATGCCATCTTAAACGGGTTTTCTTACACTAACTGGACAGAATAAGCATACATTCAGATAATGTAGAATGCGTGTATGTACCTCTACATGTGTTAGCCAGAAAACCAGGTCCAGTGTCAGTATAGCTTCAGTAAAATGTAATAAAGCTTTTATACATACGCATTTATTATTTTATGGTCATAATGGCTGACAAAATTTCTTTTCTTTTTTTTTTTTTTTGAGTTGGAATCTCACTCTGTCGCCCAGACTGGAGTGCAGTGGCCGCTCCTGGCCACCGCAGCCTTGCCTGCTGGGCTCCGGCAATCCTTCTGCCTCAGCCTTCTGAGTAGCCGGAATTACAGGCATGCGCTACCACACCTGGCTGATTTTTTGATTTATTGTAGAGATGAGGTCTCGCTGTCCTGGCAGGTCTCAAACCTGCGGGCTCAGGCAATCTACTCACCTCAGCCTCCCAAAGGCGCAGGATTACAGGTTGAGCCACCGAGCCCGGCAAGGTGAACATTTTAAAAACTAAAAAGTTTCTTTTTATCATTTTTCAAGCTGGGGGGAAAAAACCCTCACTACAATAGTTATTGAACTCCTTAAGGTGCCAGGCACTGAGCTGGGTTCTGGGAAGACAACATGATAAAGAAATGGCCTCTCTTCTTAAAAGCAAGTTGTCTGTGTGAAAGGCTTGGCCTGGCACCTGCACGTCTACACTTAAACAACTTAAGCAGAAGATTGCCAGTCATCTTATTTTTGAAGTTACTCTAGATAATGTTCCAAAAGTATATAAAGCTGATCCTAAAAGTATAGTTTATATATTATTTACTTATTCTTGACTTGACCCAAAACACAAAACTGCTATTTGTTCATATAAATATAAAATAATTACATTTAATAACAGCTTCTATGATTAATTTCTACATAGAAACACTTGCAATGACTTTCAAAAATCACAGTACGATATTTCTCTTTGATGTTTTGACAGATATGTGTTAGCTCTTATTTGTTCCAGTTCATTTTAAAAATAAGCAATTAGGTTAAGCAAAAAGAGCGATAATGAAAAAGTTTTAGAATACATTACATGCTGTCAGCAATGTCAAAACAAAAGCTGGCTATGACTAGAAAAGCAGGGCTCTCACCTGCCAATAAACTGCCCTTGATCACTTACAAGAGGGGCGCATCCCAGAAGACTATATGTGTATTAAAAAAATACTTGAAAGGGAAGAAAAAGTATCACACAGGTCACAGCAGCAATCTCAATAGAGCCCTCAGGGATTTCAACTCGTCTTGGCCTTGTCATCCTCTATGCAGCTTTCCACTCGGCCCAGAAAATGTCGATAGGAAAATGTTTGAGGGGCCTCTGGTGGAAATTTTTTCATTCTTTCTGCATTGACAGGATGCCAAATCAATATTTACTTCCCACTAACAAGCTGCTCGAGGTCTCAGTAGAAAATATTGTAGAGAATGCGGGAAGACACAGTAATAAACAGCTGTCTGGCTGTGAGGAAAACATGAATTGACTGGAAACAGGTCCACAGTAAAAGGTCACTGAAACCCATGAACTCCTCAGGTGTCCACATCAACTACGAACTTTAAAGACACATAATAAAGAATCTTTTTTCCTAAGAGGTCTGAGAGAATGGATCCTCTTCAGTCTAGCAAGCACAGAGGTTGACTCAATAATTTAATTAATGAATTTGGTAAGACCCATGTTGGCTCTTTCCCCAGGCATTTGCTTCATTTGTTAAGTCCAAAAGTACAAATAGAGGGTTAACTTTCCTGTCTACCTACTGGAAAATCTTTTTACCTACCAAAAGTAAATAATGGGTAAGTGTTTATAAAAAGTTAGACCTCTAGTAAAAATGTAAGCCTTGGAATTCTTATTCAGAAGTTTAACATATGAAGCATACAAATGAAATACCTGTCCTTCAAGAAGTCTCTGAATATACAACAGCCATTCCTTGTCATTTTCAGCATCTACCTTTGTCTTTTCAATTTCCTAAAGAAAGAAAATAAAAAACACTGGTATTAAATTGCATTTATATGAACCTAATCATACACTACTAAATACCAAAGAAATCTAGAAAAATATCAGTAGAATTAAATTCAACAAAGAACAGCTTGTCTCCTCAAGCAGAAATATGTAAATCCATACTCTTTAATATTTAATTTATAAATATTTACATACTGTGGAAGATAAAGTTCTATTTTTATATCTCACAGTAATTCAGAAGTATTTTATTTCTGCGTTCACAGTAGAGTTCAAGGTAGGAACTGAGATGGAGAACAATTTAAATAAAGTAAGAAATACCACAGAGCTATATAAAAGAATCATTTATAAGCGACACTTGTAAGATAACACAAAATCTTAAACTACAAAATATGAGTTGCCAGCTAAGGGGTAATTGTAATCACAAAAAGAATAGATCATGGCATGACTCTGGTATATTTAAATGCTTGTTGATTTAAAATATTCAATAATCTACTGATAGGCAGGGGGTACTCCAACTCAAAGAGCTGTAAGTCACTAAGTATTTTCAACATATCAATTATCATGATAAAATAGTTTTGATATTATAATGTATTCACATGTGCAGTTGATGATTTGCTTAAAGTTGCAATTTCATTTATGGGGAAAAATGGGACTTTTCAAAAAGTGAAGGGTTTAAGAACTAACATTCGTTGAAATTCACTGTATGCCAAGCATCATGCTAGGCACTTCAGTCAGGCTTTCACAGTTTGGACATGAATTTACCACAGCTTCATACAGTTTAAAGAACATAAACCAGGAGGCCTGAGCTCTACTTGGGCAAGGCACTCAAATCCTTAGGTCTCTGGAAGATGCAGGAATCAGTGAAAATAAGCTATGGTCTATAATTACATCTCGTAAATATATCAAGGTATACTGATCCCTCTCAGAACAGTGTGCTTGTATTTCTTTTTCTTCCAGAAGGGACTTAAGTTTGTATGAGATGCCTGTTACAGTGCTATGTACTCGGTCTACTCAGAAGCAGAGGTGCCATTTCTTCACAGAAGTGTCCATCTAGTCTTCGGGATTATAGACACCCTTTTCTAATTCACATCCTTAAAAGGATAACTTTTTCTAGTTTGCCTATTCAAACAGGGTGTTTTTCTCTAATTTGTCAGCCTGGAGAAGGCATCTTTTTAGAGACTGTTTAGAGGAGACAGGAAAGGATAACTGACTTGAATAACCATTTGGTCTAAAAAGGTGGTGGTTGTGTTCCTGAACGTGTGTGTGTTTGTGTAAGTACATGTGTGCATACGCAAACACACACGCATACAGACAAATGCACATTTTGCTAAGTCTGCCTGTTTTAAAATTCCTAGGCAACAGCAGAGACCTCAACTTTAATTTTTTGTTAGGTTTCTAATTATCAATCAACACATTTTAATTAAATGTCTGTAAAAAGGCATAGTTAAAAATTAGCTGGGCGTGGTAGAACGCCTGTAGTTCCAACTCTTTGGAAGATTGAGGCGGAAGGATCGCCGGAGCCCAGCAGGTCGAGGCTGGGGTGGCCCTGAGCATGCTACTGCACTCCAGCCTGGACGACAGTGAGACTCCAACTCAAAAAAAAAAAAAAAAAAAGCATAGTTAACACCCTTACCAGAGTTACTATTATCTCCCGTGTGTCTTATATTTGATACTGTATTTGATAATGCTCTTGTTCTTCAAAGTTTAGAATTTGGTAGAAAGTCACGGACATTGTGGCATAGCTGCTGAAAACAGAAACTGAAAATTTACCATCCTATTCACCCATAGGATAAAAATAATCTCTGCCGGATTCTTCTGAGCTCTATTCTAAGAATCCTTGGTAGTTTAAAAACCTTTGCAAGTTGTAGATTTGCTCTACTCCAGAAGATCTTTGAGAAGCCAATGAGGGGGCTGAAGGATGATCTCATACACACACGTCTATTATTTTATTTATTCATTGGGCAGCTACTCATTGGGAAGCTACTATTGCCACCATCTCTTTAATCTTTCCAGACAATAAAAAATCTAGTATTTGTGAATTCAGAGGCATAAGTTCACTCAGAAGTTCAGAGGCACAGTAGGGCAGGAACAAGCATCCTCCATGGGTTTCATAGAAGACTATACAGGATGAGATTCCACTGTTTTTTAGGCAGCAACTATGTGAAAAATGCGGTGCCCTCCCCAGGAAGTGCTAACGTGCCATTTAAGACCTCTACCTATATACATATAAATTCACTCACATGGGAATATTTTACCCATTTTAAGCAATAAACATATTTTTCAACAATATATTTTCAAAAAATATATTGATAAACAATAGTTTAGCCAGGAAAGTCAATAGATTTACTACTTTTTAAAAAAATCGCACAAGGAGGAAAAATCCTCAAATCAATGGTGACTTAGCTTAACTAAATCCATTCAAGCTGGCTTAATTAAAAATACTGGCTTATAAGATATATATTAAGATTAACTAAATTAAAGAAAATGGAAGAGAGGGGAAAGAATAACTTAAATAACAAGCAATTCAAAAGGTTTTATGTACTGGCTTATGTTTATATTCACAGTTACATTTCTCTAAAGGCTTTTTGAGTTGGTTAATACTCAATGTATACCTTTCATTGGCTTTTTAACAATCTTACCGTCATTAATATTATCTTAAAGATACATTTATAAGAAGTATAAAACAAATGAAAAGATGTAATTAAATTCAATGTGTAATAAGTCCTTTATTAATAAAGATTTAAATGATCTTACCACTTCATCTTCTGTGTCCAATATTTCCTCCAGATCTGACTGTGAAATATTCAGGATAGAGGCTGCCAAGGTCTGGGCTTTATGGGTTGAGGTTTTACAAGCATGCCTGCTTTTCTTCATTTTGTTAAGGTCTCTGATTTGTCTCCTCACCACATGGACATCACTTTGTAACTCTTTGACCAAAGCCTGCAACATATTGGAAAGAGCATGGGCTCATATGGAAGTCATAATGAAAACAAGGCACTCATAACATAAAAATGTGAAGATACTAACAAATCATTTTTATTAGGATTACTTGATTTTATATATTGTAGAATATAACAGATTACTCTTTACCTATTGACAGTAAACAATAAAAGCTCTCTTAAATGACCATTTGCCAACTTGCCAGATTACCCAAAGCTCTCTATTCCCTCTGTAAGCATTCATCAAGAAAGATATACCAACTGATATCTTACTTGGTGAATGCTTACAGCAGACAGGCTAATTTTAATCATGCCAAGTACAACTTCTCTCACTAGCTGACCTGATGCTAAGAGTCAAGTTCTATTTATTCCTAAGTGTGTATAAATTAGTTGTAACAGGTTAGTTACATAATTCATGTAATTATTGCGTAAACCAATGAAAGATGGCTGCAGAAAGAATTGTGTCTTTCACTGGGATAAAAATGCTGTAGTGGGATTTGAGAAAGACAAATTAGGTAAAAGTGCAATTAAATTATGTGTGGGCAAAACAACACTAAAGAATTGAAGAAAAATCTTTAAAAATCTAGGGTTGCTTTATAAGACTTTACGTTCCCCCTTTGCGCTCTCAATAAATACTAGCCCATACCACACTTACACGTGCATAAGAAAAAGGTATCTCTAATTTCGAATGGACAGAATTCTGTGTCTCAGTACATGGCCTTGTGAACTGAGAGCAGGTTAGATGGTCAGGCTACTCCCAAACTTTTGCTAGCTCAAGCAATGTTGCAATAAATAATGGCACTCATGTAGCCATTTTGCCTCTCTAGGATATATCACTATAAGTAAAATTGCGGACCAATTTGTAATTTTGAGAGCTGTTACTTAATTCTATTCCTGCTCCCCCTCTAAATAGTACTAATTTATACCTCTTCAAAAAATGCATCAAAATACTTGTTTCTCTACACCATTAGCAAGACACCAAGTTGGTATTTCCGTGTAGTTTGTTTTTCACTGTATTTTTAAGTTTCATGTCTCTTTTTATAAATGAAGCTGAACATCAGCCTTAAGGAATATTCTCTTTTGTTTTGTTTTTCTTTCTGATTTATAGGAATGTTCTCTATTTTAGGGAAATTATATTTGTCCATTGTATACATTTCAATTTTTCATAATTTGCTCTTTTCCTTTTGACAGCAATTATAGTATTTTATGCCAACGAAAATGTTTTTAGTGTTTTTAGTATTTGATGCACTCAAATTGAATTTAGTGGGATACTTTAAAAAGCATTCTTCACAATGAGATATACAAAAGGTACTTTTAAACCATGAATTTTTAGCTAGTTTTAAGTTTTAATTTTTAACCTAGAATATGCTATCCATTGTTAATCATTTAGAAGATTACTACTCAGTTGTCTCACCACCACATAGCAAATAGTCCATCTTTTCCCCACCAATTTAATAAATGTTTATGTCAGTATCTGGACTTTCTGTTATGTTCCATCTTCCCTGCTGCCCGCTCCCAAAAAATCTTACTGGAAATTTTATGTGAATCATGTCAACTTTTACTTGGATTATATTAACATTTTGGGAGGCTGAGTCTTCTTAATCAAAAAACAGGATATTTCTTTCCATTTGTTTAAGTCTTCATCTGTGTGACAAAGGATCATTTTAAAGTTTTCATTTTATAGATCTAGTTTATTTGTGGGCATTTCCTTTTACTTTGACTGCATATAATACTGATTGTGGCTTGTTTGTATAAAACTGTTGATATACATATATATATTTTGTGTGTGTGTGTGTGTATTGAATTTCATTATTTGTTATAAGAATTTTTCAGTTGATTCCTTTTAGTTTCTAGGAATTTAAATATATTTTCAAAGATTGATAATTTTATCTCCAATTTTTATTTTTATACTTCTAATTTCCTTCTCTCTTTTCTTATTTCACTGGTTATTAAGTTCCTCTTGAACAATTAAATTGCAGTATTGATGGACACTCTTGATTTGTTTCTGATTTTAGTGCAGTCCTAGGAAACACTATACCAGCATTTACGTTGAGTTAGCCATATAATAGTATATTAAGAAAGTAACTATCTACTTGTATTTTATTTTTATTTTTTGCAGAAATTTATAAATTGTCTTAAATCCATTCTAGCATTCATATAAACTGTGGTATTAATTTCTATCATACAACTATTGGTAGGATTATTAATACTTTTTTAGTATTTAATTTTCCTTGCATTTTTAGAATAAACTCCACCTGATTGTGGTATATTATTTTTTGGTGTGTTGCTAAATTTATCTGGTAATATTTTATCTAAAATTTCTGCAGTGATAGGAAATTGATTCATTTTTATTTTGTTCAATCTTCAAACAAGTTTGAAACTTTTGGTTTTTTTCCATGCTTATAACGGTTTTAATGAGATTGAATTTATCTGCTCTTTAGTAATGTGGTAGCACTCACTGGCATTTGGCCTAGTACTAATTACAAGGGAAGGCAGCTTTTTGACAATTAGTCTTGCTTTTCTTTATTCTGGAGTGTGTTTTGGCATATTTTATTTTTCTAGAAAATTATCTATTTCATTCAGGCTTTCAGATTTCTTTGCATGGAGTTCAGAAGTTTGCCATAATTTTATTTTTTAACAGTGGTTATTTTAACTTCTTAGTTCTTATTTTGCTCGTTGTGTTTTCTTTTTTTAGCCAGGTAAGCTAATGCTTTATCTATTTTATTGCTTTTTTCTTTTGTTTTCAAAAAATAAATCTTGCATTCATTAATTTTACAATTTTACAAAAATTTACAAATTTTTAAAATTCCATTTTCATCTTTAGATTTTGGTTATTTTTTTAATCCCTGGCTGAATGCTTATTTTAATTTTTTATTAAATATGTAAAGTTACTTAATTTTTGAGCACTGTTTTAGATGTATCCTGTGGGTTCTAATAATTCTATAATGTTATTATTTTAGGGATATTCTGCAACATGTTCAGATTTCCTCTTTAACCTAGTAACTTTTTAATTTTAAATATTTAGGTGGTGGCCAGGCTTGGTGGCTCAGCCTGTAATCCCAGCACTTTGGGAGACCGAGACGAGTGGATTGCCTGAGTCTGAGAATTTAATACCAGCCTGGGCAACTTGGTGAGACCTTGTCTCTACAATAAATAAAAAACTAGCTGGGCATGGTAGCACGTGCCTGTAGTCCTGGCTACTTGGAAGGCTGAGGCACAAGGAGTTCTGGAGCCCAGCAGGTTGACACTAGGGTGGCCGTGAGTGTGCCACTGCACTCCAGCCTGGGTGACAGAGTGAAGCTCCAAAAAAAAATTTATATATATATATATATAAAAAACATATATTTACATTTTAATATATATTATATTTACATTTATATGTATATATATATTTGGTTTTGTAATAAATTATAGCTTCATTGCATCATCTAAACTATTTAGTATTTATAGATAGTATTTATCTATTCATTTAAGTATTGATCTATTATTTGTACTATTAATAGAATGCTATCTATAATAGTTCTACCTTTCCAAATTAATCAAGATTGTTTTGGGGTTTTTTTTTTGACTCTTAGGTTGGATCTCTGGATAAAGACTCTGAGATGAAGGTTTGTGTGTGGAAGTTTTATGGGGAAATGTACTTAGGAGCAACTATAAGAAATGTAGGGAAGCAGGACTGGGCAAAAGGAGCAGATATGCATTGCAGTTCCAAAAGAGGCTTTATGCTGTCTTTTGAGAAGCTCTAGAAATGACATGGTCTTTCAGAGCTGTCTCACTTTTGTTCTGTCTACCTCCTTATAATTGACGTAAAGTTTTCACTTAGTTTTTTTTTTCCAAGTCTGGAAACTTTATTAGAACATATCCTGGGTACAACATATTAAATCAATTTTCCTTGGTTCATATTATGTTCTTTAAAGTCTTTCTATTTCTGGAAATTATTTTTGGATTGTAGCCTTCAATATATTTGTTCTAGTCCATTATTTTAGTTTTGTTCTTTAAAGACTCCAATTATACATATGTTGAGTCTTTGTTACCCGTTCCACAAATCTCCTTCTTCCTTTCCTTTCCTTTCCTTTCCTTTCCTTTCCTTTCCTTCCCTTCCCTTCCCTTCCCTTTCCTTTCCTTTCCTTTCCTTTCCTTTCCTTTCCTTTC